CCCCCCCCCATGGATTCATTTTTCCATCCCCCCCGACCACTGACCGGCGGACACACCCCCTCCCTCGCTCGTGTTCCGGTGCACCTGTGCCAGCTGCCATGAAGTCGGCCTCTGCCCCGTCAAATGACCCGTTCGATGACCTTTTCTCCTCTTCAGCTTCTGGCGCCGCGGCCCCGGCTCCGGCTCCGGTTCCGACTGACGGCGCCCCCTCGTCCATCGCCAATGATGACATCTTCGGGTTTTTCACCACCCCGGCGGTCCCGCAGTCGCAGCCGCAGCCGCATGTCTCCACGGCCTCCCCCTCGATGGACAGCGCAAGCAACGCCTCTGACTGGGACTTTGTCAAGGCTCCGGCGTCCCTATCGTCGATGACCTCGCCAGCCCAGCCGCCGGTGGCCGCGAGCAGCGCCTCGCATCCGGCTTCGGGCGACCTGCTTGGACTTGGCTTGGGCCCTGCGGTCGTCGGCTCGCAGACAGCCTCGCCGTCCACGTCGTCGTCGGCCTCCTCGGCCGCAGTGAGCCCGGCCCCGAGTCCGGCCGCTGGCTTTGGCCGTGCCACCCAGCCCGCCGCCCAGCCCGCCGCCCAGCCCGCCGCTCAGCCCGCCGCTCAGCCCGCCGCCCAGCCCGCCGCCCAGCCCGCCGCTCAGCCCTCCACCCGGACGGCTGCCGCGCCAGCCCGGCCGCCGGCCGTGGCGGTCGCTGGCCCGGGTTTCCAGCCTGCCGAGGCGTCGCGCGCTCGGTCGCCGGCATCCCCTGCCAGCGGGTCCGGCTCCCCGTCGGCTGCCTCCACCACTGGGGCGTCGGCCTCCTCTTCGCGCAGTGCCGAGGGCCTGACCTCCTTCCTCTTTTCGCGGCTGTCGGCCATGACAACCGCCGCGGCGGAGAGCGCACGCGCGGCCACTGAGCAGGCATCGCAGTATGTCAATCGCCAGCAGATGCAGGAGCACTTCCACAATGCCCTGTCGGCGGTTGCCTCGGTGACTGGCGGCGGTCCCGGGTCCCCGACCGGCCAGCCGTATCATCCCCCGCCGCACTTTGTCGCGCAGCTGGTCAGCATGGGCTTCTCCGAGCCGATGGCCATCGAGGCGCTCATTGCCCACCGGGGGAACATTTCACAGGCGGTGGCCACGCTGACCCAGTTCGAGCAGACCGCCGAGGCGTTTACCGATGCCCCGGCTCCGGCCCCGGCTCCGGCCCCTTCGCAGGTGGCGGCCGAGGCGTATGCTCACGCGCATCCGGAGGCCGATCCGGCGCTGCTGCATCAGCTTTGCGGCATGGGCTTCAACATCGAGCAGTCGCACGCTGCCCTGCGGTGGTCGGCTGAGGCCCTGGGCCCCGGGGCTTCGGCCGCACATCTTCTCGATGCTGCCATCGACTATCTGACCGCCTCCGCAGTTTCGGAGCCGCGCGCGTGCGTCGCCCTCGCCCCCCCCCCCCCCCCCCCTCCTCGCCCCCGCTTCCATGCATGCCTTGTGACTGACCGCCTGGGCTATGTTAGTGCCCCGGCCCCGGTGCCCGCCCCGCAGACCCACACCCCTGCCGGTGCCCGCCCCGTTGCCGCGACCGCCCCTGTGGCTGTTCCTGCCGCCGCCCCGGCCCCGGTCCCGGTGGTTGACCCGGCCCCCAAGGATTCGGATGTCCCGCTGCCGGAGGCCGTCACGGCCGAGCGTCAGCGCGGTAACGACCAGTTCCGCGCCGGTGACTACCAGGGCGCCATTGGTGTGTTTCCCTCCTTCCTTGCCTCCGGGCTCCCGGTCCCTCCCTCTCCCTTCGCGTTCCCCTGCCTCTGACACGGTCTGTGCCCTGCGCCCGCCCTCCATTACAGTCTCCTATTCGGCGGCGCTGGATCAGCTGAATGCCGGCACGCACCCGGCCACCCTGGTGTCGATCCTCAACAACCGGGCCATCTCGCGCCTGCGCACCCAGGACTATGACCTGTGTGTGGCCGACTGCGATGCCATCCTTCGGGTGGATGCCTTGAACTTCCGGGCACTCATCCGTCGTGGCCAGGCGTACGAATCGCTGGAAAAGCTGGACCCGGCGCTGGCGGACTTCCGGCGCGCGCGCGAGATCAGCCCCCAGGATAAGCAGGCCTCCGATGGCATGAACCGCGTCCAGCGGGCGCAGGCCATGCTGAACAAGCGCCGGTCATCGCCGGAAGCCAGCCGCTCGGCCTCGGCGTCATCTTCCAGCGCCAGCCTGGCCACTCCGGCTGCTGCTGCTGCTGCTCCCGCGGCTGTGTCTGCCCCGGCTCCGACCCTCAGCAGTGCCGGCTTCGACCTGTCGGAATTTGACACGCTTGGATCTGCCCCCTCCGCCGGTCCTGCCAGCACCGCTGCCCCGACTGCCTTCGCCTCGAGTGCCTCCACGGCCCCCGTCATCCCAGTTACCGCTGCCGAGGTCGAGTCTTCTGACGGTGTGTCCAGTCTCCATCGCAACGGATCATGCTTTTCTCCCTCTCCCTCCCTCTCTCTCTCTCTCTCTCTCTCTTTGTCTTTCTCTCGCTCTTCTCGTTCTTCCCTCTCTGCACCAGCATGTCAAGTCGCCGTTTCTCTGACCAGCCGCTTGTCTCTCCCCTCTCTGTCCCTTTCTCTTCCCCCCTCAAACACGCACGCGTCCATAGCCCTCAAGCGCATGCGCGCGGCGGAAGAGCAGGCCGCTCAGAACTCGGCCGAGGCGGATGCCGCCCTGCCACGCGTGCAGGCCACCCTCTCCGCCTGGAAGGACCCGCGAGTGGGGAACATCCGTGCGCTGCTGTCCTCCGCTCACACGGTGGTCCCGGCCTCGATCGAGTTCACCGCCATCAGTTTGGCCGATTTGATGACGCCGGCTCAGATCAAGCGCAGCTACATGCGCGCCATTGCCAGTGTCCACCCCGATAAGGTGCACAATGCCGACACCGCTGACAAGCTCCTGGCACAGGGTGTCTTCCATGCGCTGAATGAGGCGTACAACGCCTTCCGCGACCAGCAGTAACCGGTGGCCTTCCCGCTCCCTCTCCTCCCCTTGCTTTCCCCTCTTCCTCCCCCCCCCCCCCCCCCTGGCGCGCCCAAATAGAACCCCCCAACCGCCTACCCATGTGCGAGGCCTGTGCCTACTGTTCCATCGTCCGGGGGATTGTGTTTCTCGCCGGAAGGGCGAACGGCGGGCCTGGAGACGCCCGTATTCGGATGGGCTGGCTGGCTGGCTGACTGTCGGGGCGGTTCGTCCCTCCTTCACAGGAAAGTCGCCAGAGGACTCCCAGGTTGGGGCCCTCGAACAAGGACACTGTTGGTGAGACGGGCGTATTCGGGCCGCACACACGCGCTTGTACACATATCTCCATGAGGGAGCTGCCAAGGAGACAAGCATGGGTGCGCTCATGCGCACAGACACATATCAGTGACCTGAATGCGCCAGCACAGACGAGCTCGAAAATGCAAGGGGGGGGACGGTGGTTCTCAAGGACGGACGGTGTATTGGCAGCGCAAACCCCCGCGTACGTCAGGAAGGAGAGGGGCAGAGGGGGAGAGGGAGAGAGGGCGAGGCAAGCGAGGGTAGGCAGCAAGTATTGCCCGAGGGAAATCAGTCCGCGGCGGCGCCCTCATCACCGACGATGGTCAGGAAAACCTCCTCCAGGGAGGTCTGGGAGATGCCCCAGTCGACGACGCCATGGCGCTGGGCCAGCTGCTGGGACATCTCGGCCGGGGTGAGGCCGTGCTTGGAGCCGCCGAGATTCTCGAACAGCCGGGCGATGAGCCCCAGTTTGGCTGTGAATTCGATGCTCAGGCGATTGGTGGAGATGGTCTTCAGGTCGGCGATATCCTCGATGCCGGCCGGCTCAATGACCCGCGGGTCGCACTCGCGCGGGATCAGCGAACACACGAAGGAGGCCGCCTCGGCCGCGCGTCCGGGGACCACGCTCACGGACATGCGCACGCCGCTACCATAGCGAGACTTCAGCTCCAGGGGGGTCTGCGCGCCCGGGGCACAGGGTGGACGTGGGTGTGAGTGCACGGCGGGCCGGCACGCGTGATGTGCGCGCGAGAGGGCGCTGGCGAGCGAGCGAGCGAGCGAAGGGGAAGGGGAGGAAGGGGCAAAAAATGGCGCGTCAAATGCCCACCAACAGGGACGTACACCGATGACGCGCAGTGAGCCGCGGACCATGATGCCGATGTTCTGGCAGAGGACCTCGGCCTCTTCCATGGAGTGTGTCGTCAGGACCATCGTCCGGCCGACGCGCTGAGCCTGGATAATGGTCCAAATGAGACGCCGAACCTCGGGATCGAGACCGGTCTGCCGCACAAAGGGACATGGGAGAAAGGGGGCGGACATGCCAGGGTTAGCAGAAGGACCTGAGGAAGCAAGTGCCGGGCATATGCGGTTGGGGGGGGGGGAGGGGGGGGGGGGAGGGGGGGGGGGGGGGGGGGGGGTGCATGTGTAGGGGAAGAAAACCAGGGACCGCGGACAAGGACCAATTGTAAGACAATTGGGCAGAGATCACTGGCGCCAATGACGTACCCCTGGGCCAGGAGGGCTTGCGCCTCGAGAGCCTCCTGCTTCCGGCCATACTTCTGATCCGAGGCGTGGACGTAGCGCTCGATCGGGCCCGGGCCCGGGAGAGGCAGGCTCTGGTGCGACAGTGGGCGAACGGGGGGGGGGGGGGGGGGGGGGGGTGGGGGGGGCCGGCGGGGGGGGGGGGGCGGGGGGGGGGGGCGGGGGCGGGGGGGGGGGGTGGGGGGGGGGGGGGCGGGGGCGGGGGGGGGGGGGGGGGGGGGGGGGGGGGGGGGGGGGGGGGGAGGGGGGGGGGGGCAGGAGGAGGATGGGAGCAAAAAAAGGAAGAGAGAGCCAAGGAGGATGGGAGGGGGGCGCACGGTCGGCTCATCCAGGAAGATGACCTCCGGGTCACCGGCCAGGGCAATCGCAATCGACAGGCGTCGGCGCTCGCCACCCGACAGGGAGCCGGCCGCGGTGAAGCGGTAGCGCTCGAGGCCGACGGCGGCCAGCAGCTCACTGACGGCTTGGCGATCGGCCGCGGCCCGCTTGGACCGCGGCAAGTGCAAGCTCGACCCCTTGAGCCGGACATAGAAATACAGATGATCCTCCACCGGAAGGTCATTCCAGAGGATGTCATACTGTGGGCAAACGCCAATCGACCGGTAGATGGAGTCCAGGGTGCCGGAGGACAGGAGATGCCCGGCCACGCGGATCCGACCGCCGGAAGGCGGCCGCAGCCCGGTGACCAGCGAAATGAGGGTCGTCTTGCCAGCGCCATTCGGTCCGAGGAGGCCGAAAATTTGGTCACGCTCCGGGCTGAAGCTCACGGAGCGTACGGCGCGCTTGCCGCCGGCGAAGTCCTTCTTGACGCCGCGCAGAACCAGCGGCGAGTTGGGCGAATGCCGGCCGGTATAGATACGCCGGCGCTCCTGCTGCACAGCCGCGTCGCCGACCTCGCCGGGGATATCCCACCGCATGGGGCCGGTCGTGGTGTCGCCCGCCACGGCATCCGCCGCATGCAGGAATTCATCGGCCGAAGCCGGGCCCTGATCGAAGTGGTCCTGATCATCGGCCAGATCCTCGGCATCCGACATGTAGTGACTGATGCTGTCGTTGCCGGCGCGGCGGCGGCGCGCGATAAACCGCTGGATGGCCGCATACGTCCGACTGGCCGGGAAGTGCCACGGGAGCTGGAGACCGAACTCCGACGGCAGGACCAGGATGAGGTAGCTGGATGAGGGGCAAGGGGGAAGGCAAATGAGGGAGCGGGGGGGGGGAGAGATGGGGAGAAAGGAGGGCGCGACAGCATGGAGGAGAGGAAAGGGAATTGAGCGCCGGGGCAGGATGCCGCCAGCAACCGGGGGGACACCGAACAGATGCGTCCCGGGGGGGGGGGGTCCGGGGGAGAGTTTGGGGAACACAGAGGGAAATCCGACAGGATGGCAGGGGTATGATGCGGGCCGAATGGAAGGGGACAAGCAGGGAAGAGGGATCGAAAGTGGAGGAAGGGACGCGGAGAATGAAGACCGCAGGACATCGGGGGGGCATTGGAGTCAGCAATGGACCAGACGCGGGAAAGCAGGCGACAGGGGCGAGGGAGAGGGCAAAAGCAAGCGAGAAGCCCACACGCACAAGCTCACCAGCAGCAGGACGATGATCTCCGCCAGCATGAACATGAGGCTCGTGAACACCGGATCGCCCGGGACCAGGTCGGCCACCGCATACGCCCGAAGGGACAAATCGGACGCCTGGTTGTTGATGGTAATCAGAGCCCCATAGAAGGCGAAGGGCGGGAAGATGTTGATGCCCGCCGGCCGGTCCTGGCCGGTGAACATGAAGGTCAGGCCGTTGTTGACGATGATCGACAGAAGCACCACCAGGAAGGTGACAATCTGGGCCGTGCGAGCACGCATGAAGAGCGCCGACAGGAAGAGCGCCATGGCCACCAGGATGTGGCCCCAGAGGAAAAAGAGGGCCAGGTACACCCCGGCCCCGGTGCGGGTGAAGAACTCCAAGCCGAAGGCCACACCGGTGACAATGAACACCACGGTGCTGATGGTGTACAGCACATAGAAATGCAAGTACTCCATGGCATAGTAGTAGGAGTCGGACAGGCCATTCATGCGCATCATGATGAGCACGCGCTGCTCCTTGTCCCGGACCAGGGACACCACGAACACCGGCAGGAGGAAGGAAATGCCAAACGGGTAGAGCGCATTGCCGAAGAGGGCCCGGGTGTTGAAGAAGAAGCCACTGGTCCCGTTGGATGGCCACTGACGCAGGGCCTGGCCCAGGTCAAACTGCAGGAACCCGGCCGCCCGGGAGCGCAGGCTAATGAGCGCCTGGGTGAGGCCGGTTTGCGCCCGGAGCAGGCTGAACAGGGCCGACGGCAGGGGCGCCACGCCAGGCTGATCCTTCAGGAAGGTGGACAGCCCACGCGTGGGAGCCAGCTCACTGAGGCCCTGAAGCTGCTGGTCGAAGCCCACATGGAAGGTGACATTCAGCAGACTGCTGGTGGGGTCAGACCGATGGGTGGGATCCACACCGGCCGACATTGAGTGCAGAGTCATGGACGCGCGGGGAACCGCCGCCAGGGCGATCTGAGCCTCGAGAGTTTGCTCCATGCTGCAGGGGGGGATCGAGGCGGGGGATGGGGCGGGGGGGGGGGGGGGGGGGGACAAACGTACAGGCCCGGGGTGGAGACGTGCGGCAGCGACAGAAGGAGGTGCTGAGCCTGGAGATGCTTGATGGCGCTGGTGAGGGGACACAAGGTGCGCGAAAAAAGAAAACACCGGCCCATGAGCGCGACAGGGTCAGCAATCAAAAATCCTTGGAGATACGGAGGTGGAGAGAGGAAGAGGGAGGGAACAGCGAGAAAGGAGGCAGTCGAGGAAGGAAGAGGGCAAGACACAGACGCAGGGAGGAGGCCGGATCGGGCATGGTGCATGCAAACGACGAGAGCAGGGCAAAGCAGAGGGGGAACGTACGCCTGAACCCGGTCGAAGGTCTCCTTATCCACCGCGGCCAGGAGATCCTCCGTGGCCGAGGAGGCCGGGGTCAGCTGCTCGAAGTAGGGATACCGCAGGAGGAGAGGGTTATCCGGAGCGCTGAGGGGGGAGGCCGGGTCGGCGATGTACTGCTCCGCGGCATCCGGGACAATGGTGAACCCGCGCGGGAGCTCGCCCAACAGGCCCTGCTCGATGCCCTCATTCACATCTCGCGGCTCGAGCGGATTGGTGGGAATCATCTCGCGAGAGATGGGGCTCGTCAGGGGCGGCAGAGCGCCCACACCGGGCACGGTGATGCCGCCGCCGACGTCCAGCGTGGTGGGGATGTTCGTGGCCAAGTAGCCCCAGGTCCGGTCGTTGTCGGACACAAAGTACCGGAAAGCCAGGCTGGGGAAGTCCTCATTCCCAACCGGTGGGTCGGGGAACCAGTCGAGCTCCGTCGGGGGGAAGGGCGTGCTGGCATTCGGGGAGCCGAGGGGTCAGACTGGGGGAGGGAGGAGGCTGACGACGTCACCGGCATTGGTGGGCCGAGCAAGAGCCGGGGCCGGGGGAGAGGCCCACCGAAGGAGGGAGGGACGGGGAGGGAGGCACGCACAATGCCGGGAATGGGCAGAACTCCGCGCGAGGGGCGCCCCGGCAGGAGGGGGTCACTGGTCCGCTGAAGGGGTCGCTCATCTGGGTGCCATAGACATGGGTCGAGAAGAAGTGCATGCACGCACGTCCCTCATAGGAGGAGGACTTGCCATGGCCGAGGAGGACGCGCAGCTCGCCATCCGGATCGACGCCGACGGCCCCATTGGACAGGTCCGCCTTCGGCAGGTAGCTCCGGTATGTGCCGGGGATCATGACTTCCGGCGAGCCGGAGCAGTACTGCACCCCGACCGCCTGGAAGAGGTCGCCGACCAGCAGATCAATCACAATGGCCAGGATGCCGCAGATGGCCACCAGCACCAATGGGCAGGCCAGGACACAGCAAATGTTCGTGAACATTTGGTAGCGCTGGGCAGGGAGCAGGGGCAAGGCCCCGGCGGAGGGGGCCACGATTTGCAGCGAGTGTCAGTGGCCAGCGGGGAAAGAGTCCAGCGGTGACCTCTGCACGGGAGGGTGCACCGCTGCTCGGGAAGAACGAGAGAGAGAGAGAGAGAGAGAGAGAGCCCCGGCAGGCGGGGTGGGACGGATGCACTTGGGCCACGGGGGGAGGGATAGCGGAGAGGCGCGGCGGGTGCCAAGGCGCGCATGTGCATCGCACGTACCTGGTGTGTGGCCGTCTTACGAAAGAGGGCGTTCAGCTGTGATCGGCGGATGGCCCCGGCCGAGTGTTGAACTCGACGGGGAGGGGAGGTGCCGCCACCGAGAGGCGGCGAGCCGGCGGCCATCGGCATGGTAGCCGCCGAGGAGGCGGCCGTCCGCCCGGACATCGGCGACATCTCCATCGACTCGACCATGGTGACGAGGCGAGGTAGAGGGGCGAGGAGGAGGGAGGCGTGGCACCCGGAGGCTAGCGAGGGGAAGCAAAGAGCGTGATGGTGGGGGCCAAGCGGGCTCTGGGGAAGAGAGGGAGGGGACGATGCGGCGGGTTGGGGCCTTGGGGGACGCAGGGTGTGGGCCTCGCCTGCCGGTGGAACAGCGCTGCCGCTTGGGGGGGGGGGGGGGGCGGGGGAGGGGATCTGGCTCCATCGAGTCGGCGAGGCGAGATCCTGTGCGGCCAAGATTGCCCCCCCCCCCCCTCCCACTAGCCGCTCGAAGGGCGCTTGCCAACCATAACCGAGCGAGCGACACGGCCACCAGTCGGGCGGTCTGCCTTGCAGATGTTACATCCGCCCGGCCGGCTGGGAGGCGGCAGGGGCCAGGGGGGGGGGGGGCGGGCTGACACCGACCTGCCGCGGGGAGAGATCGCACTCAGCGGCGGGGGGAAATTTGATCGCAATTTGGGAGAAGAGAAGCCATGAGCCGCCGGGGGGGGGAGGGGGGAAGGGGGGCACGCCCGGCGGACAATTCGCGCTCCGGCTTCTCTCGCATTCCTCATCGGACCGAGACTGGGACAGGTGCCGGGTCGCGTGTGCCAGCGAGACCTCCCTGGATCTGCCGGCGAAATGCGGGCAGCGACCGACGCGCCTGCTCGCCCCTACTTCATTCTTTTCAGTCGCCGCCCTTGCCGCCGTGGACGATGTGTCACTGACGGAGCCCAGCATGTGCCAACCCTCGCCCGGGCTTCCTGGCAACGCCGGGCCGGGCGGCCGCACGCTTGGGCCCCGGGGGACGGGGAGGCGGGCTCGGAGGAGGGGGGTGGGGGGAGGGACCACTGGGCGAAGAGCCCGGTCGGGCTGGCCGCGGGTCTAAGTGAAAATGTGAAGACCTCGCAAGCGCCCGAGCCCAGACACCCGACCGCATCCCCGCCCCCCCCCCCCCCCCCCCGCGCCCCGCGCCCCGACACACAGACTTGGCAAGACTGGCCGGGGGCGTGTGAAAGGGGCCTCCAGGGGCGGAATGCGCGGACAAAACTCGGACAGCACGCTGGAGGGCGGTGCGACCGCCGGGCCCCTCCTCCGGCCGCGGTCCGGGTACCACCCGGCCTTCGTCTCTTCCGCCGCCCTGGGGTCCCTGTGCCCACACAGTCATCCCTGTGAAGAAGACGTGGGGCCGCTCATGGACGGCCCCCAATGTCCTGGTCCTGGATTGTTCTAGCGCCAAAGGGGGGGTATGCAGCAGGTCTGCTGTTGGGTCTTTGCGGGGGCGCGCGGGGGGGCGCTTTCGTGTCCGAGTCCAGGCCCGGACGTCGGACGCGCATTCAGATGCTCGGGAGGGGGGGGGGGGGGTAGGGAGAAGAGGCAGCCCGACGCCGAGCCGGTTCCAGCCGGGCCATGACCGAGGGGGCCAGCGGCCGGCCGGAAATAGCGCCTGACTCCGCCATATGGCGCTCACCCCGGAGACAGACCCCTTGCTCATCCAACCGCCGGCCCCGGCCCCGGGACGCGCCCACCACACGGGGCTAGCCAGGACGCTGGCAAGCCGCGGTCGCCTGGGCGGCTGGGAAATTCGCCCCCGCCCCCGGCCCCGCCCTCCCTCGGTTTCCTTCCCCCGCGATCCGAAGCCGGCGGCCCGGGGGACGGGGCCCTGCGCGCGCGCGCGCGCATCGGGTTTCGGCCCCGAGGTCACGCCTGCTTCGCGCAAGTCGGGCTGGGGTCCGCAATATACGTGCAAAGAAGCGCTCGCCTGCCCGGCCGGGAGCCCAAGGAGAAGCGAGCGTGAAAAGGGGCCCGGCCCCGGGCCCCGGGCTGGGTGTGCAGGCCGGCGCCAGGGCATGTTCTCGCAAATGCACGCGCACATACACACAAACACGGCACCGGCGTCACCGGCCACGTACACTGTCGCCGGCATGCGGCTGCTGTTCCACCCCCAGCGGCGGCTGCCCCCCCCTGTCGGAACAGGCCCCGGCCAGCCTCGCCGGCGCCCGGGACAGGCCACCAATTTTCCCCTTGCCATGGAGGCTTGATCGTCTGGCCGGGGAGGACTTTCGCCCGAAAATGGCGGGGCGCCGGGCCGGCCCGCGACACCGCCCGTCCCGGGCTACGCGACCCCGCCGACACGCCCCCTCCCACCGCAGGTTCCCGCAAACGCATGCATCGGCAGGCGCGCAGGCTCAGGCACGCGCCTCGGTGGTGCAGGACAATGGCGTGCTGCGGGCTCCCCCGTCTGCTCGGCCGAGAGCCCGAGCTGCGTGGCGAGCTGACCGGCGGAATTTGACACTTCGCCGGGCTCCCGTTCCCGCCCCTCGGCACGGGGCAAGCCCGCGGGAGGAGGTCCACTGGTACGGCCGTGGAGCGCCCCCCCCCCCCCCGTCTCCAACACATCGCGGGGCCCAAATTTCGCTGGCAGCACAGGAGGTCGCCCCCCAGGTCGGATCTCGAGCAGGTCGGGGGGGGGGGGGGGGGGGGGAGCAGAGCGGGCAGACACAGCCTGACGCAGAAGGGGGGAAGGGGGGCCGGACGCACGATCCAGCGCACGCTCGGCACCCCTCCCCCCGGAGGGGCCCCCTGAAGATCCCCGGAGATCCGACGGCCAATCCTCTCTTTGCTGGCATCCGCCACCGCCGCCGCCGCCGCCGCCGCCGCCACCGCCACCGCCACCGCCGCCGCCGCCACCTCAAGGGCAGCCAGCCCCCCCTTGGCCTTGGCCTGTGTCCGCCCGTACCCCACGCCGCGCGCCCACGCACTCCCACATACACACATACACACGCTCTCCTCCTTCTTCCCGTTCCCCCCCCTCCGTCTTCTGTTCTCCTTTGTTCCCTCCCGCAACCGGGGACTCGATCGCTCGCTCGCTCGCCCGTCCGCCCGTTCGTCCGCGCGCGCGCGCACCATCACCATCATGTCCTCGGTCAGCCTCGCCCACCAGGTGGACCCGGACGCGCCGCCCGGCCCCCGCGCCGGACCGCTCAAGTCCTTCCCCTCGCGCATGCAGGACTCCGGCTTTGCCGGCTGGCTGGCCCAGCTGAAGATCATGCTGTGGAAGTACTATGTCCTACAGGTACATGCGCCTTCAAGTGCACACTCACACACATACTGGCCAAGAGCCCTGCATCTGCCCACTGCCGGACATGCTCTGTCGAGGGTCTGCTTGACTCAAACACCCTCACGGTGCTCAGCTGGCCGCCTTCTCACAACTGAACACATACACACACACACACACACACACACACACACACACATGCACATGCACATGCACATGGACGACCTTGTGCCCCTCTCCGCTTGCGACATGACGACGCGTAGATCAAGCGCTACTGGCGCTCGACCCTGCTCCAAGTGCTGGCGCCGATCCTCTTCCTTCTCATTCTCTTCGCCCTCGATCGCGGCTCCTCGCGGGTCAGTCGACAAATTGGCGCCGATCCCGACGCTCCGGAGGCCGCCTGGCATACATCGGTCCCGCCGGTGGCCCCCTGCTGGCCGCCCTTCGAGGGCCGTGTGCGCGAGAGTTCGGCCGGCTCGCGCGAGCGCTGCGCCACCATCGCCTTCGCCCCGGGCGACGATCCGACCGTGCGGGACATCATGCGGCGAGTGGCGCGAAACAACGCCGCTCGTGGTGGCCGGGACTTCCATGTGCCGGATATGACCGTCGCTTCGGCCCCGGTCAGCCTCGATTGGTCCCGGGCTGCCTTTGCCGAGGAGCTGGCCCGGTATCCCCCGCCGCCGGGTGACGGGCTGGTCCCGACGGTGGCCGCCAACGCCGATGCCGGCTTCGTGCCGGTGGCCACGGTCGAAGACCTCGCTCGGCTGGGCCTGTCCAACCCCAACTCCACGCTCTTTGGCATCAGCTTCGAGCCCGGGGCCGGGGCCAACACCCACACCTACCAGGTGTGGTACAATGCCACGGTTACGCCACTCGACAACAAGGCCTTCACCCCGACCGCCGCCGATCGCACCTCCCTGCAGCTGGCATCGCTCATTCGGGCCCTTGATGAGGCCATGAGTGCGTGAGCACCTTTGTCTCTCTTGCCCTCTTGCATGCGCTCGCCCGGCCGCCTGCTCGCCGCTCCCTTCCCCCCCCCCCCCCTGATTCCCTCGGTGCACCCATGGCCCTGACCCTCCCCTTTGCCCAGTCCAACACCACCAGCAGGACGACCAATTCCGATATGAAATGTCCGCCCGCTCGTGGCCTTTGATCGCTTCGAATGGGACATCTCGCATTGCCCAGACTTCGACCCCGGTCTTCCTCATTGCCTGCGGCCTGGTGAACTTCATCCTCTTGCTGGGGACCGTGGTCTCAGAGAAGGAGTCCTATCAGCGCCACAGCATGCAGATGATGGGTCTCGCGGTACGCGCCTCTCTCTCTCTCTATGTGGATTTTGCTCTTTCGCTGCCTTTGCCGCCCCCCCCCCCCCCCCCCCCCCCCC